GTGATATTACAGCAGAGCCCTGCCTCTACAAGGCAGACACAGCACTGCCCTCAGTAAACTATAATTAATATTCATCTTATAATGCAGGGTTTCCCCTTTCTGTACTTCAAGGAGATAAAAGGAGAGCTTCAGAGTTACACCCTGCTACTACCAGGTTGGACCCTCTTTTGCCTTCAGAACTACCTTAATTCTTCAAGATGCTGGAAACATTACCCAGAGATTATGTGACAGCATCGCACAGTTGCTGCAGATTTGTTGGCATACCTCAAAATATGAAGTAAGAGAAAGATAGCTGAAGCCATACCAGCCATACCAGCTTGGATGTCGACCAGATTAACAAGGTCTGCGTCAAGTGTTGAGGATTGGGACACACGGATGAGAAGTGGGCTCCTGGAACAATTCAATTCAGTTTTATTTATATAGCAACAAATCACAACAACAGTTGCCTCAAGGCGCTCTATATTGTAAGGTAAAGACCCTACAATAATACAAAGAAAACAGAAAACCCCAACAATCATACGGACTCCCTATGAGTGGGAAGGAAAAACTCGCTTTTAGCAGAACCAGGCTCAGGGAGGGACGGCCATCTGCTGCGACCGGTTGGGGTGAGAGAAGGAAAACAGGAGTAAAGAAATGCTGTAGAAGACAGCCAGAAATGAAAAATAACAAATAATTAAATACAGAGAGGTGTATAAACACATTAGTGAGTGAAAAAGATGACTGAAGAAAAAACACTCATGAGAATCCCCCAGCAACCTACATCTATTGCAGTGTAGCTAAGGGAGGATTCAGGGTCCTCTGATCTAACCATAACCATATGCTTTAGCAAAAAGGAAAGTTCATAATTTTAAAGGTAGAGAGGGTGTCTTGTAAGCTGGTTCCATAGAAGAGGGCCCTGAAAATTGAAGGCTCTGCCTCTCATTCTACTCTTAAATACCCTAGGAACAACAAGTAAGCCTGCAGTGCGAGAGCGAATTGCTCTAATGGGGTGATATGGTGCTATAAGGTCATTAAGATAAGATGGGGCCTGATTATTTACAGTTTTTTCTGAATGCTTAAACCCTAACTGTGATTCCTGTAGCACAATCTCTAAAACTATTCAGACTTATAGCAAAACCACTCACTGAGTTTGCAAAACTAAAAGCACAAAAACTGCTTTGCACTCAGTTTGCAATTTTGTAACACACACTTTGCAAGACTGTAGGCACAATTCACTGCACAACACTCAATTTCCAAATTTCCAACACACTCCTAGCAAAAGTATACACATGTATGGCTATCATTAACACTAATTTGCCAACTGTCTGGCACACTTTCACATGTGAAAACTTTTTTAGATAATTCGTTCACTTTGCAATCTGCCTAAGCACTATAATACAGGTAAGCTGTGTGTGCGGAGTACAATGGTGGGAGCAGAAAGAGTGAGAAGTAGAGGAGGCCGAGGAAGAGGACGTGGAGGTGAAGAAGTAGGATGAAGAGGACGACAAGGACAAGGAGGAGCAAGAGGAAGACGAGGAGGGGGGAGAGGAAGATGAGGAGGGGGAGGAAGGGTAGGAAGAGTAAGAAATAGAATGCTGATGACATCAGAGCTACAATAGTGGACCATGTAATCAACCATGTAATCAACGTGGAATGACCTGAGGGAAGCTGGCCAACGGTCAGCCTAACTCGAGCCGCTACACGTAGCAAGTATCATAAGGACTGAAATGAGAATCGGTAGTACAGTCACTTGCACAAAGATTGTAGCACTGCATATGCCAATGAGAAACAACCAATACCATGATGTAAAAATGCTGAAATTGTTACTTACAGAATTGCTAGATGACCAGATGCTGGCGGCAGAGGAAGCATGTTCACTGCAGACCAAGTAACCCATATAGTCATTATGGCGATTGCAAATAATCCTATACTTGGAAATAAACACTTGTGTTTGTTTTGATGTGTTTGACTAAACACCAGTACTTGAAGTTTGGATCCCTCTATGCTTATGGATCTATGACAGAAGTATGAGCTCAAACTGACATGGCCTACCTTGTGCACAGGGAAGGCAAAAGCCAGATTTGTTTTGTATTCATACCATCGGTGTGCAGTTGGCGCATTGTGTGCTTAGTAGATGATGGCTTGTGTGTACTGTTTGATACGGAAACACCATTTTTACAAAGGTGTGAAGAGTTAATCTAGCTGTGTTTGCTTTTGCAAGAGAACTACAATGTTTTGATTATTGGGTGACAGGTTTTCTTATTTGTGTGAAGAGTTTTGCAAAATTAGCCAATAGTTACAAAAAATGTGCTTAAGCAATCAGAAAAAACTGTAAGTGCATCAGGTAATTAAAATTTTGTGCATTAAGAGTTATGACCCACTCTAGGATTCTAAATAAACTCAGTAACTTAAACAAAATAAAAAAAGACAAACAAAAAACCGTAAAGGGATTAGTTATAAAAGTGGTCGGTTATACACTTTCATAAAGAGGAAAAAGGAAATACTGAGCTACATGTACATAGGTCAGAGGTATTCTAATTTTGTATATTCTAATTAGTTTTTATTTTAATTCTGTTTTGAAATTTTTTTTTAAGTCAGGTTACATACTCGTTTATTGTATGAAAATGTTTAATTTTAGGTGTTATTACTGTCAGCATCAGTTTTAGTCTTTTTAATGATTACTGTATGTATGGTATATGTCAGAGGCAACATTTAGGAAAATGTTACAATGCAAATACAGAACCTTTTGATAGTAGTGACATTCAGAGTCTCGATAAACATGTCAATGAAAGCCTTTTGATAGAATTTTTACAAAAGTAACAAATAATACAACTTCCTCTATATTTTTTTTTTTGTTTTAGTTAGTTTTCAGCTCCATGTATTATTTCAGTTATTTTGCAAACATTTTGGAGTCTAGTGTTTGTTTTTATTTTAGTTAACTAAATGTTTGCTCATATCTAGTTTTAGTTTAGTTTTAGTTAACAACTTTGACATAGACGTATGTGCTATGGTTAGGCACACCTTTCTGGTTTTTTTTCTGTTCTGCATGACTGATGTTGTTTTGTTTTGTTGTTTTTTTTTTGTTCTCGGACATTGTGTTGAAATCAGATTTCCCATAGAAGATGTGGTATTTTAAAACCAAGAAAACAAAACCAAAACTATGTAGACCAGTCTCTGCAATAGTTTTAAGATAAGAGATAAGATAAGATAGAACTTTATTAATCCCTCAGGTGGGTTCCTCTGGGAAATTCGATTTCCAAAAAAGCACAGCAACGACCGAAGTTACAGAGTTATACACACACACATATATATAAATACAGAGACAATATAAATAAAATATACGAAGGGGATAAATAGAATAAATAGGAATAAAAATAAAAATACAAGTGAATTGCACATTTCAAGTATTGAGGTCTATTGCACCGTTGACTATTTACAAAAGTATTGCACAAAAGGTATTGTACAGTGAGGTGAAGAGGCACTACAGCTTAGTTGTTCCCTCCTTTGTCCTCCTGTTTCCCCTCCCTCTCCCCTCCAGAGAGGAGTTAAACAGTCTGATGGCGTGTGGGACAAAGGAGTTTTTAAGTCTGTTAGTTCTTGTCTTTGGGAGAAGCAACCTGTCACTGAACAGACTCTTCTGGTTGTTAATGGCCGTGTGCAGAGGATGCCTGGCATTGTCCATAATGTCCATCAGTTTCTTTAATGTCCTTTTCTCTGCCTCTGTCACCAGAGTGTCCAGCTTCATGCCGACCACAGAGCTAGCCCTCCTGATCAGTTTCTCCAGCCTGGATGAGTCCTTCTTTGCTGTGCTGCTCCCCCAGCACACAACAGCATAGAAAAGTACTCCAGCAACCACCGACTGGTAAAACATCCTCAGGAGCTTCCTGCAGATGTTAAAAGACCTCAGCCTCCTGAGGAAGTACAGTCGGCTTTGGGCTTTTTTATACAGGTACTCTGTGTTGCATGACCTCCAGATGGGATTTGAAGCGCAACTTGTTACTGACACCAATAAAAAAAAGTAACAAAAAGAAAAAACAGAACTTTTTTTTGTTTTGTTTGCATTTTTTTTTTTTTTACTTGACAGATTAAACGATATAGATTTGAATTGTCTAAGAATAGCCTATCTGAAACAAATACTGTCCCACAATTCCTTACTCAGGCCTTTGTTACATTATTACATCTCCTTTTCTTCTTTTTTAATGTGCACAATAACTCGAGATTATTATAATGAATGTTTAAAAGTATGATTCATTGCTATGAGGAAACAATGTTCTTTGTGAGTGTCTCGTGCACATTAGAGGTAAGACAAAGAACATTTACTGGAACTCTGCCAGTGCTGGCAGTACAAAAGCAGTGCTGCAGGGAGTCCTGTTGCTTCACATGAGATGTATATGAGCCAAAGAAGACGTGGCAAGGTAATTAAGTTATTTTGGTTAACCTTCTAGGACCTGGCGTCCACATATGTGGACATCACATTTTGGGTTATTTAGACCAAAATACTCAATTTTGCTCTACATGGGCCTGATATCCACTTATGAGGACATTATACTGCTACTGTTCTATCAAAATTTTAAACGAATATCCTCATATGTGGCTCTTATTTTTCTTGAAAACAAAAATAAGGTAAAAAAAAATAAATCTGGTAATTCTTTGTTTTTACATTCATCTGGCCCCAATATGCCCAAATATCAAAGAGAAATTAAAAATGCACACCATGGAAGAGTTCGGGTGTTAGGAGGTTAAACTAAAATTATTTTCAGACTTCTCTGGGATTGTTTTATATTATTATTATGTGCTATTATATTATGTGTATGCTGAAATTTATAAAGATATGTTTAGATTTCACTAATATCGCACAGTAATGCCTATATTATTAGCTGAGAGTATTTCAGTGCACATCAACATTTAAACTTCAAAACATCTTCTGCCCTATAGGCTACTTAACAAATTATGTACATATACATGTTGCATACCCACTTTTTTATTTATGTATATCCATTCTGCAGGTTTGAGTTTGAGTTATGGCGGGTCAAACCCTATTGTTTTTGCTGCTTTTGGTGATTATAGGTGAGTATTAAATAAAATCAGCCTAATGATTTATTGTTGTTGTATTGATTAACGATGTGAGGATTCTCAGATTTGTATTCAAACACGTGCTTATTGTGATAGGCCATGTGAGTCCTCTGACAACAAGTAAGTGAAAGCTTTGATCACCTCTCTATAATTTATTAACATTCTCTTGGAGATCTATCTACTATCAAATAATATAAATAGTTAATCGATAATAGTTTGAGATTATACCAGTCGATAACAACAAAGACTACTTTGACAACTACTATAATCACTGTTTCCTAATTAAGTAGCTTTAAACTCATGATTTATGTATGTGAACTTGTATGTTTGTATTCATTTATATTTTTATCACAGGTGTGACACCAGGTGAGTCAACATACTTCTTTAATTAAAACTTAAGTTACTGAGTGCATACTTACAATATTGAGTAGCCTTAAATGTAATTCTTTCAAATGTATATATGTATTTATGTATCTATGTATTTATTTATCTGTCTGTTGTAGCAGGTCCTGTGACATCAGGTGAGTTAATATACTTCTTTAAATTATAACTTAAGTGAGCTTATTGCATTGTTGATTCCAACAATAAGCACCTTTAGAGGGAATCTTGTGTATTAGACACATATAGTGTCTTTACTTATTATTAGTATCAACTATATTACATTATATTTATATTATATAGCTGCCACTAGACAAGCATGTAAAAAGAAGTGAACAGAAAACACTAACAGTAATCCAAACTTTTTCCTCTGGCATCAAAATTTTAGCTGCACATGATTTTAATATAAGAGTTATCTCATCAGGTGGCTTTTTAGAATAATCAGATCTGAATTCAGTCTGAGGCCACCACCTCCTTGTTGGCTGTTGTTTTTTAGTTCTATAGTGTTCTGTTTTTGTGTTCTGATTTACTCTTCCTGCTATGACAGGCCAAAATGCTTTCAAAAGGATTTATTCTGGTTCTTCATGCTGTACAACCCCAATTCCAAAATAAAGTAATGGAATTGGAATCTAAACAACGATTTGCAAAGTGTTCCTTCATGTTTTCCTTTTTAGAATCACAGCTTTTATAAGATTTGTTGCTGCTATCAAATTTGAAATGAACCAATATATTTTTTTAATGGTACAGTTCTAAGTTCAAACTGTTTGTGTGTTTAATTTCAAATACATTGAAGTTTCTGAGTTTTGCAAATAACTTCAATGTGTTTTTAGTTACCTTTTTGACAGTAACTTTTTTGAAATTGGGGTTGTATTTATTAAGACACTGTATCTGTAGGATACAGTGTTTAAACTGCAGCATAATGGGGCAAATCCCCTTTTTACTCTTTTAAGGTACCCTCTATCCAATATCTGGAACAACAAGTGCTCGTTCAGACGATGGAAGTTCTCCTCTTATTGTCCTACAGCGTGCTTTCCTGTTTTTTGGACAGTCATATAATCAGATTTATGTAAGTAAAATATGTTTTGGAAAACTCAAACATCTTTGTTTTATACATCTGCATTTTAAATGCAGATGTATAAAATGTTCATTCTCCGGTTTACAAATCAGTTACAACCACAGAGCTGAATTGTACATGCTTAAAAAAGAAAATGAAAAGAAAAAGAAAAAGAAAAGAAAATTCACTGTTATGAAAGTAATAATGTATGTTCAATTTCAAAATTACTTGCCGACTTGTCATTTTCATCCAGTACCAAAATACATAAAAATAGTTGAATGCTTCTGTGTGGTGGAATGTAGGACCAATAATTACTTACAAGGAAAATGTAGCTGTACAGCAGTGATGATTTATCGTAGACTGCAAAAAAAGATGGCTGGATGTAGCTTTTGGGTCTGAAAGTGAAGTCAATGCTCGCAATATGTTCCTTAAATATATGTTTTTTCTAGTGACCACCAGGGGACAACTCACATAGTTTGACAAAGGCAGCTATTTAGTAAGAGTCCCACATGTTAATGTGTGCATATATACATATGTGTGCATCAGGTCACTCTTTGAACATCTTTCAGCTTTTGCCACGTGTGGAGACCAAACACTGTTTGGTATTTCTGCCACCTCTGCATATCCCCACATCAGGTAGCAAGTTAATGCAGGGTGTCATTCCTTTCCACCAAAAGCTTACTTTATGAATCACAATAGGTTACCAAATTGTTAGTGATTCTTAGTCACTATTAAAGACAGTATTAAAGTGCTGTCAGAGCTTGTTGTTGCATACAGTTAATTATACATGACTGCAGTGCAAGATGGTGCGGCTTCCCCCTGTGGGGCGAGGGCACCTGGACCTGGGATATAGAGTATGGTTGGGGGTTGTGATTGTGTGTACAGTGTCCTTTAGTGTTTGTCTTCACGTTAGGTGAGTGCTGAGTATTGGTACGTGTGCATGAGGGAGGGAATGCATGTTTGTGTCTGTGTGTGCCTGTATGTCTGTGTCTCTATGTCAGGTCGGGACTTAGACTCCACCTCTCTGGGAAGGAGGCCTAGCTTTTTTCTTTTCCTTCCTCCCTTTCCTATCCCCCAGCCATGTCTGTCCCATCTTTAACAACTAAAAATATAATAAAATAAATAAATAACAACAACAAAGATGGATCAAATGGACCACTATGGTAAGGCCGTGATGATCCACTTGGTAAAGTAAATCTGTAGGGTATCTTTGTTGGCCTTCAGACAAAAATTTTGATGTCTAAAGAACCAAACGGGACAGGCAAAAAAAATAAAACTTCCGCCCCAAAAAGTTGTAATAAAGGTTAAACAAAAGAAAGAAAGAAAACTCCTAGTATTCTCTAGATAAAAATTAGACATTATTTCTGGTACACGTCTTTGAATTCTGTCTGTAGGAGACAAAGTTGGTTAAGTGAACCATTGTGTTTACGTTGATGAGTTCATGCGGTCACAAAAAAATTGACAGGGTATTGGTCTTCTGCATAGAACTTTGCGATCACCAGCTAATGATGAAATTTACTTCACCTGGGGCACAAGCAGATCCTAATGCAGATCTGTAATGTTTATTTTAGGGTGGATCTACTTTCTCAGATAGACCCCTTTATCATCAGCTGGTTTATAACACATAGATAGTAGTGGTCAGAACTACCCGCTAAAGCTTTGCAGTGTGGCCATTTATCTTTTACATGCAATCTATGGGCAAAATCAGCTCAAACAATTTGCACTGTGTCACTAATAAGTAAAATTCCAGTTTTTGCCAAATTAGCTCATGTTTGTTCTGGGCATTGAACTAAAGCATTTTAACAGTAAGCAATCTCTTATACTGGAATATGGATGAGTCAGAAAACGAGCAATGGTATTTTATCTCCAGCTAACTAAACTAGTATAAATATGATAGGGGTGCAACAATACTCGTATCGATATTGAACCGTTCGATACAGTGCTTTCGGTTCGGTAGGCATATGTATCGAACAATACAAAATTTTAAATTTATTTTATCAACTTTCCTTCTGACGATGCTGTCTGTGTTGAGCGCTCAGTGGATCTGCGCTCGATAGTGCAGCCTAGGCGGAGTAGTCGAACGCAGATTCACTGAGCGCAGTGCAAGCTAGTGAGACAGAAGTTAAGCTCTCCTTGCAACATGGCAAATTGAACCTCCCCCACCCTCATTCAGATCTGGCGTTTGGAACTATTTTGGTTTTCATGTGACGTATGACCCTGAAGGTAAGCGCGTCATGGACTAAAGTAAAACAGTATGTTGGATGTGCCACGCAATGCTCAATTACATTGGTGGGAACTAGTGCGTTAGCGCAGTTAGCTCGTTAACGTGTTGGCCGTCCAGCCCCACGCACGGGGCGATCCGCGGTAGCTCGTTAACAGAGATTTGCTGTGTTGTGGCGTTAACGTCATTTCAACGAGATTAACGCTGACAGCACTAGTGGGAACACAACGAATATGACTGCACATTTACTCCGACATCATCCTAGTGCAAAGACAAGTGGAAGCAGACAAAAACAACAAGCACGCATGCTACAAACTTTACCCGAGTCATTTAGACAGCTGTTAGCACATGATTCTCCTTATGGGGACCTGATATGTTTAATATGCTGCTGAGAATATAGCCCAGAAGAAGCGTATAGTATAGCTTTTATTTTGGAAAGAGCCATTTCTCTGTAATAAACTCTTTTCCAAAGATGAGTGATTTCTCGATCAGATAGATTTATTAATTTTTATTACTTTGTTGTTTCAGCAACATTAAATTCAAAAACTGAACTTTTAAGTTAAAATATATATTTATAATTTTAATAAATGACAAATTAAAAAGGCATGAACATTTTTTTTTGGATCGAAAAAATATCGAACCGTACCGTGAATTTTGTGTATCGTTGCACCCCTAAAATATGAGGAATGGCAAGGTCAAAGCTAACATTATCTTCATAGTTGCAAACTAGGTATAGAGTACTTAAATATCAACTTATATTTTGAGATTTAATGTTTTTAATGAGTCAAAAGTATTTTGTTCATCTTTGTGAATCTGGCTCATTACCCCGTCAGTGAGTGATTATTGTTTCCTCTATTTATTTATACTACGCTACAGGTATAGTATAGGTTTGAATGGTACAATTTGATATCCCTGTGTTGGTGCTGTTCCTATATCATCATAATAATGCTCGTCCAGGGCCAACATCGCAACTGATCATGAGCATGTCTGAAAATTGAGTTCGCATTAGTCAAGAATCTGGCTAATGCTATTAAAAACTATCACTAGCAAATCAGCAAGTAACATAAATTTGGCCAACAGCAAACTTAACCCTGACAATGTATTTATTAAAATGTTTTTCCTTACATTACATACACATCCTTACATTTCCTTACAAAGACATAATATTACAACAACGTGACTGGTCAGTTGTAATATTGATCCTGGACCATAATTACTATGATGATGCAGGAACAAGACCAACACAGTGATATCAGATCCACCATTTTAATAACAAGTGATCAACACCTGTGTCTGAAGTGCCTACAGTTGATACCTAATTTATACTGGTTTTGACTTACAAGAATGTTTTTATTTTCTAGGTAAACCACAATGGGCATCTGACCTTTGACGCACCATGGTATAGCTACACCCCGCAACTGTTTCCAATGTATGGATCCAGAGACATCATCGCTCCATTCTGGACAGATTTAGACAACAGAGGAAATGGTCAGATCTACTACAACCAATACACCAGTGGCAGTGTTCTCCAGCAAGCTACACAGGACATTAATCAATACTTTCCAGGACTCAATTTTAATGCAAACTGGGTCTTTGTTGCAACTTGGTATCAGGTTGCCTATTTTCCAACGAGTGGAACAGTAAGTCACCTCTTACTAAATTATGCAATCAATATGAAGCATAGGGTTATAATACCTATGAATATATATACTTTAAAAACAAGAAGTTGCTTTTTTTCAGCAAACAACAGTCCAAGCTGTCCTGATATCGGGTGGCCAGTACTCATTTGTGTTGATGAACTATGGGCAAATAGCCTACACAGCATATTCTATACAGGTTGGTACCATTTAAAATATAATATAGTAAAAACATATATTTTTAGTTTTTGTGGCCATCTCTTACTTTAAGTTAAATGCAGGGATATATAAATACAAAATAACCATGCAATTATTTTTAACAGTGTGACATGTCATTTTCAGGCTGGATATGACACAGTCAATTCTGTTCACCATTTTTCCATCCCTGGATCATTCTCAGGAAACGCAACAGGACAGTTCTCAAATTTCCGTCTCAGCAGCAATGTCCATGTGCCCGGTCGCTGGGCCTTCAGGACAGACCATGGATCAAGAGGCTGTACTTTCAACAGTAAGATCTGAACTAGAGAACGATCATCATAGCCAGCTGATCAAAATTCTACGAGAATTCTATGAGAAGAATGTTATTATATTAAATGACAATCCCCCTCTCTAGCCCTTCATTTTTTGATCTTCACTCTGTGAAAACAATAAACAAAAATGAATCCTAAAATTTAAAAATGAACACTGTTTGAGTAGTAAGAATCTCTTCAAGTTGAAGTAAAAAAATGTAAAGTATTCATTTTTCTATTGTTTCAAAGGTTTACCAGTGCAGCTTGGTGATTCCTTCTGGAGTGACAGGACCTGTGCACAGAAGTGCACATGCACCTCAGCAGGCCTGCAGTGCCGCAACCAGCCGTGCTCCTTTTCACAGATCTGCCAGCAAACTTCCTTCCAGTTTTCTTGCCAGACAGTGCAGAGACGCACTTGCACCATAAGTGGTGATCCCCATTACTACACCTTTGATAACCGAGTGTTCCACTTTCAGGGCACTTGCACCTATGTTCTCTCTGAGCAATGTAATAGTGGACTGCCCTACTACAGAGTAGAAGGCAAAAATGAGCACAGAGGCAGTACTCAAGTCTCTTGGACACGACTGGTAAAAGTGCATGTCTACAATGACACAATTGAGCTTGTCAAAGGACGTCGTGGTCAGGCAAAGGTATGGAATAAGAATCAAGTTTAAACTTACGGTGATATGTGTTTGTGACATGTGTGTTTTACTCTTTCTGTATGCTGGTGTTTTTACAGGTTAATGGGAACTTTGCATCCACTCCATTCTCCCTTAGCAATGGCACCGTGCAAGTTTATGAGTCAGGTTTTTCTGTGGTCGTCAGCACTGACTTTGGTTTAGTGGTGTCTTATGACACAAATCATTATGTCCAGATCAGCTTGACCTACACTTATCAGAATACAACATGCGGTCTTTGTGGAAACTTCAACAATCAACCTCAAGATGACTTTCGCACACGCCAGGGCCAGCTTGTGAGCTCTGATGTGGTTTTTGCTAACAGCTGGAGAGCATCAGGGGATGATGAGCCTGGTTGTGAGGCACAGTGTGGAGGTCTGGCCTGTGCTGGCTGCACTGCACAACAGACAGCATTGTACAGCAACACTGACCACTGTGGTATCCTCAGCAGTAGTTCTGGACCTTTTGCTGCTTGCCATCAGCAACTTCCTCCACAGTCCTTTGCGGACAGTTGTCTGTATGATCTGTGTGTAGGAGGAGGGTACCAACCTATTCTCTGTCAAGCCTTAAGTGTGTATGCAAGTCAGTGTCAACAAAATAATATTCGGCTGCAAAGCTGGAGGAGAACCGGCTTTTGTGGTATATTAACACATTTTTAATAATTATTTCAAAATATAATTTTATTAAAATGCCACAGATGCTAAAATCTAATTTTTCCTCTTCTTTCTAGAAATTCCATGCCCAGCCAACAGCCACTTTGAGTCTGAAGGCACAGGATGTCCAGCTACTTGTCTCAATCCCAACTCCACCCACAACTGTCCTCTCCCTGTGCAAGAAAGCTGCATCTGTGATTCAGGCTACATCCTCAGTGGTGGGGTCTGCGTCCCTCATGCCGAGTGTGGCTGCAGCTTTGAGGGCCGTTACTACCGCTCTGGACAAACTGTAATACTAGATGAAAACTGTGGGAGACGTTGTAGCTGCAGTTATGGCTCCATGACTTGCCACTCTCATGGTTGTGGGCCATTTGAATCATGCAGGGTGGAGGATGGAGAAAGAGGATGCAGACCAAATAGCTATGAAACATGCTGGATCAGAGGCCCAGGGTCATATCAGACATTTGATGGACTGACATACCAATATCCTGGGGCGTGTCAATTGACACTTGCCAAAGTTATGGGACTGTCCAGTCACCCAAACTTCACGGTGACAGCAGAAAAAGTGCCAAGAAACCAGCAAGGCTTTTCCAATGTGCTAAAGTTTGAGGCAGAGGGGACACAGGTCTCAATTGAGATGGAAATAAACGGCAAAGTTCAGGTAAATGACAGAAATACAATTGAAAGTCATTGTAGATTAATGTGTCATAATGAAAGACACAAAAAAAAGTTGACACAAGCAGATAAGCTACTAATAATAGGGAATCATTAAGTAGAGATCACTCTGTACTTATGCGGACATTATTCTACATTGTTGTTTTCATTGTAACCGGAATATTACACCAGAAAATCTGAAATAGGAAAGGTTACCTTTAAATACTGTCACTTAGCTTTGAGTTGCTTTTTTCCCCTATAAGAATGAATTCCTTTATAGTGTACCAAAATTATTCATTTTATATTCACTTTTACTTTTTAATTTAGTATGATGTTATTTAACTAACTATCAATTTGTCCTACTGATATACTCCTTCATTTAAACAGACCATCACATCACAGGCTGCCATATGATCATTATAGTATGACATTTTTATAGTACGACAGTATAGTAAATACAACAGATGTTGATTATAGTGGTGTATATTGAAGCATTTGAAACAATTGGCACTTTAAAGCATAATAAATTAAAACAGTCAGGATGTAAGATAGACAGAAAAGGCTGTTGCAGAGTTTTGGAGCTGCATTAAGGAAGACCAGTTAGCTCTAAGAGTCAATCTGGAAATTGTTACAAATAAAAATGATCTAATATAATAGCTCCAAACTGGTTGTTTGGTAAAAAAAAATATTATCTACTACATTCTACAATAAGTACCAAGCTTAGGACTTATTGGGAAATGACAGATGGAAACATCATTAACAAAATGGTCTTTACTTAAAAGTGTTATTATAATTATTATGACTGACTATTTTAATGCCTTTTAGGTGGCTGGTCAGGTGATCAGGCTGCCTTTCAGTGCTGGGTCCAATGGAATCCAAATTTTCTACAGCAACCTGCGCAGTGTCATCATTCGCACCTCCTTTGGTGTAACTGTGCAGACAGTCTGGCCTCACTTTGTCCGTGTCACTGCTCCTGGTGTCTACAGCGGTTCACTGGGTGGACTCTGTGGTAACTACAATGGTCGTCCGCATGATGACTTCCGCACACCCAACGGTGTCCTGGTCAACAGTTCTCAGGACTTTGGAGACAGCTGGCGAGTTGGCTCTCTGGCTGCTCACTGTGTGGAAAGCAGAGGTCATGATCCTAGGACCGATTTTAATTCTAGTCAGTACTGTGGCATTCTCAGATCACCAGATGGGCCATTTGTACCCTGTTGGTCTGTGGTTGACCCAAGGCATCAGGTGGATGTATGTGTGGAGATCATGAGGGGCTCTAACAATCCAGCATCAACTCTGTGTGACGTCCTACGAGATTATGCACTAATGTGTCAACAGAAGGGTGTTGCCTTAGGACAATGGAGAAATGCAACTGGCTGTGGTAAGCATTCAACTGTTTTTGAATTAATTCTAGCCATGATCTCCAAATGTTTAAAAATGCTTTCATATGTTAACCTGTTTGTTCTTCTCCAGCACTAACCTGCCCATCAAACAGCCATTATGAACTCTGTGGAACCTCTTGTCCTTCTGCTTGCCCCAGCCTCTCTTTCCCCTTCACCTGTGATAGTGTGTGCCAGGAGGGCTGTCAGTGTAACAGTGGTTTTATCCTCAATGGTGACCAGTGTGTTCCACCAACATCTTGTGGATGCTATCATCAAGGACGCTATCGCGAAAGTGGTGAGCAGTTCTGGGATGGTGAACAATGTCAGAGCTTGTGTACCTGTAACGGAAATACAGGGAACGTCCACTGTACTCCCAACTCCTGTGGGCCCCAGGAGTCCTGCCGTGTGGTGGAGGGCGGGTTTGGCTGCCATCCCAACCCTTCTGCCACGTGCTCTGCCTCTGGAGACCCTCACTATTTCACCTTTGATCGTAAGGCCTATGACTTCCAAGGAACATGTCGCTATGTTCTGGTGACCCTTTGTAATGCCACTGATGAGCTGAATCAGTTTTCTGTGGAAGCTAAGAATGAGGCATTGAATGGGTTGCCAGTTTCAGTCACAGCAGAAGTTTTCGTGAATGTGTGGGGCTATCATGTGCACATGTCAAGATACAACAGGGGTATGGTAGAGGTGAGCGGAACTGTTTCTGAACAATTACTCATATTTTACATTATAAAAAGCAAAATTTAAAGCCACAGACAGTTGCAGATGAACCTACCATGAGAGAGACCTCCACTTAACTGCAAAGTATTGTTAGAAAATGGACAACAAAAAATTGCTGTAAAGGAATGTTAAAGAGAAAGTAGTCTGGAAACTTCAATTTCTTCACTAGAGAGCCTCACTGAATTTATTTTTAACAATGAGCTATCACTTACACTTGTAGGGACAGTAATAAAAAATAACCAAATGTGAGAGACCCTTGGTAAATAATTGCTGTTGGTCATTGTGCTGCTATTACATTTGTTTAGTGCTGACATATGACTACGGATAAAGGGCATATGAATAAAATTAAATATTTTTGGCTTTCCTAAATTGTCCTTCCAATGTCCCAGGTAAATGGAATAACACAGAATGTACCAATTCTCTTGAATGGAAGTCGAGTATCTATCTTTGCCAGTGGATCTCGAACAATTGTCCGCACTGATTTTGGCTTAAGCGTCATATACGATGGATGGAGTACAGTTTCTATCACTGTGCCTCCAAATTACAGGTATCTGCCATTCATCTTCGCTCAAAATCAGCTGGTGTTGCAATTACTCACACACTCACACCTTTAAAAGTGTTCATAGTTGTGCACTACCACACTTTTATAACATAATTCGAATGTACAGGATTTTATTTGGCTCAGAATGGTCTTTTGGGGTGTCCCATAAGATTGATAATCCTCCCCACAGTAAAACCAATGAATCTGTTTTATCTTACTGTTCTCATCAAAAGGGGAAAAACATGTGGACTTTGTGGAAACTTCAATGGAAATTCAAATGATGACTTCTACACCCCATCTGGAATAACAGTCGCATCTCCAGATGAGTTTGGGAGAGCCTGGAAGGTCCCAGGAAACTACACCTGCAGTGATGGATGCGGCTCATCATGTCCGAGATGTCCCAATGAACAGCCCGCTAGAGCTCAATGTGAGGTGATCCAGGCAGCTGATGGCCCCTTCAGTTTCTGCCACGAGGAGGTGGACCGTGCACCATATTTCAACGACTGTGTGTTTGACGTGTGTGTGGCAGGAAATCGAGGTCATGACCTCCTTTGCAGGGCTCTTGAAACATATGTTAGAGCCTGTCAGTCTGCTAATGTTCGAATCTACCCTTGGAGACAAAATACCACCTGCGGTGAGTGAACCTGCCATTGTGTTGCTGATATAGTATCAAGCACAAGAAAATAAAATGCTTCTTTTTTGTTGTTTTTGTAAGTGTGTTGAAATATGGTGTCTAAGTTTCATGACTGTTTTTTTTAACCACCTGACATCCATCTTTTGCTTTCTTGATTTTTTAGCACTGGACTGTCCAGCCAACAGCCATTATGAGCTGTGTGGTACTGACTGTGGCCACACCTGTGCCAGCAGTAATGATACCACCTGTGAACGGGCTTGCTCTGAGGGATGTTTCTGTGACGAAGGCTACCGCAGGAGTGGAACCAGTTGTGTCCCAGTGGAACGCTGTGGCTGCCAGTATAATGGATTCTACTATAATGTAAGTTCTACAAAGAACCATAGAGCTATATAAAAGAGGGATATAGTTTAAAGGTTTTAATTGCATAAATGATTTGAGCAGATAATTAACAATGACAGCTTGGCAACAGTAAATACATGGTAGGCTTTACTATAAACTGCGGTTATTCTTCCTCTTTTTGTTACATTCTCTCACACAGGCTGGCGAGTCCTTCTGGACAGACGGTTGCTCACAGAGATGTGAATGTCACGCTCCAAATGACCTGCGATGTTCTGCCTCGTCTTGCACTCCTGCACAACAGTGCTCCATCAGAGACGGCCAGCTGGGCTGTTACGATGCCATGTCCACCTGCACAGTGTGGGGGGATCCACACTACATCACCTTTGATGGAGCAGTGGCTCATTTCCAGGGAACTTGCTCCTACATCATCACTGAGAGCACAAACCATGGCACCAATGAAACCCAGTTTCAGGTGATAGCCACCAACAATCACCGTGGAAACAACCGTGTGTCATTTGTGTCTGCAGTGGACATATACCTCTCAAATCATCCAGAAAGTGTGCACATCAGGATCGGACCCAATAAAAGAGTAACGGTAAATACTAAGCTTTCTATGTTTCGCTCATATGAACACCTTCACAGCAGGTACTTTGCATGTCTCTCATAACGCTTGTTCTTCTAGGTAAATAGTGGAGAAGTGTCTCTTCCCACCTCTGCAAGAACTTTAGCTCAGGTGGTAAGGGAAGGCAGCTACATAGTTGTCGATGCACTTGACCTGGCGGTCCAGTTTGATGGCCAGAGTACTTTGTTGGTAAGAATCGCCCAAAACCGTCAAAACAGAGTCACAGGTATGTGTGGAAACTTCAATGGCGACTCTGGGGATGACAAAGTCTCACCCAATGGCACACTGGCACAAAATGACAATGACTTTGGACAGAGCTGGAAGTCAACAAGAAGCCAACCAGGGTGAGCTGTTTGGAACTTCTTTAGGATATTCCAAAAATAGAGTCTTGTTGACCTTCATCAACTCATATAACATAATGTCTTGCTTTGAATGAGAAGATTTTATGGACATTTAAGGACAACAGCATATATATTACATCCCAGTAAAAATAATAAATGTACCATTGTGTTGAGTGTGAATTGGGAGTGTAGATGTACAGGACATTTTACCAAAGTACACAAAATTTCCCAAAGTGTTAAACATATAATGTCTTTTCCAGATGTGGGTCTACTGATCAAAGAAGTGGTGATGGACTGAATGACTGCACCTTTAGAGAAGAATACTCCCAACTCTGCAGTGTCATCACCAACACCACCGGTCCATTCAGAGCCTGTCACCTGCACTCTGACCCCGAGCCATTTTTCACTTCCTGTGTCTATGACCTCTGCCTCTACACTCCAGCCAATGGCATGCTGTGTTCTGCTGTCTCAGCCTATGAGAAAACCTGCTCTGTTCTAGGGCTAGACATCCCTGACTGGCGCTCTGGTTTACTGTGTGGTAAGTTTGTGCTGGATAATTAAGTGATGTCTTTTTGATGTCTTTTGATAGAGCTTAACAGGTTTTTCTTGAAAGATTGGCTTTGTTTTATTGTACTCCTGTCACTCTTCTTCTGCAGAGGAGTCAGACCCATGTGAACAGCTGGACTGCACAGAGTACGAGTGGTGTGGTAAGAAGGACGGTGTCTATGGCTGCTTCTGTGATGAACACCATGACCGAGGCAACAGTGAAAGCTATGGTGAAGGAAGCTCCTATTTAAACCTTGTTTTATTTTTGGGTCATTGGCAATGGTACTGCAGTGCAGTTTGTACAAGAAAAATGGGATTTGTTAGTTATTTGTTTTCTTATTCTTCTTTTTAAACTTGTATTAACAGACTCAACCATCACTTGTGCCAGTAGTTCAGGCACCATGTCCGTGTCCCGTTGTCAGCTATTTGAGGCTGGCTTTCACTCTGATGCCCTCCATCTCCGAGATGAATCCTGCAATGGGACTCTTGAGTATGGTCGACTGGTTTTCCACTTTGACAATGACAACCATCTGTGTGGGACAGCACTCAGGGTACAGTTATAAAACCAAAATATTATGGATAGTCACTGTTATTATACATGTCATGTTTTGTCATTTATATTATAAATGACATCATATTCAATTTGTAATGTTTTGTTTTTTTAATTTTAGAGCAACGGAACACATTTCATGTATGAGAACATCGTCCAGGGTTTTGTGGATCCTCATGGAAGTCTTATCAGCCGCCAGAGGAGCATCAATCTGCGTTTCTGCTGCGAATACCCCCTGAATCAGGCCCTGTCTATGGCTGTGGGCATCAATCCTGTAGAAAGGTAACAATACATCTCCTATGCATTATATACAATACTTAGATTCGATTGTTATATATTCCAGTGTTTTATGTAATTAAATGTGCACTTCAGGCATCTTTTGGGAACTTATTTTGAAAGATAGTGCTTTAAGATCACAATACTGACAATGAGACAAAATAAAAACATGAAAATGAGAACGTCATTTTTGCCGCACATTAACATTACACTTTTTGATATTCATGCATGTTAATAATGTTCATCATTTAATAATGAACTCATTTGTAGTATTATTATGTTTTTTGTAGCATCATTAGGAAGAAGATTGCAACCGGTCAAGGACAGTACAGCATGAGAATGATCCCCTTCCAGGACCCTGGCTTCCGCTTCCCCTTCAGCAGTGACACAAACATACAAATGGAAATAGATCAGAGGTTATATGTGGCGGTGAGAACAGAAGGAGTGGATCAAAGCCAGATCTCCACTATTTTGGACTCCTGCTGGGCCACACCAGTCAACATGCCAAACTACCCCGTCCGCTGGGATCTTATTACTGCAGAGTAAGAGCACGTTTGCAGTGTCACCTTGTCTTAGTATACTTTATTAAAAACTTGAAAGAATCAGCCCCAGACAGACCTCTCCTCGGTTTTTCTCCAATTCTTCCTCATAATGAATTCTGCTGCTTTGCTTTATAATGTGGGATATTTAAACGTCTGCCTGTCTTCCAGGTGTCCCAATGAAGCCGATGGAACGGTAGAGCTGATTCAGAACGGCATCTCTACTGAGGCCCGATTCTCCTTCAGGATGTTCACTTTTACCAACTATTCATCCATTTACCTTCACTGCAATGTCCACCTGTGTCTTTTGAGACACAACAATTGCACAGCTGTACGTACCACTGTTTTAAATTCTTATTGGTTTTCATTTTTACCTAATAAATTTAAAAACTGTTAAATCTGCAGAAGCCTATAAACATTTTTTTTCTCTCAGCGCTGTTACCCGGGTTACCACAGGCGAGTTCGGAGGGATGCATCCTTCCATGACACTTCATCCATCTCACTTGGACCGCTTGTTTCAAGGCCAGGTAGCAGAGGTACATTGAAGCTCTCATGTCTCTTCACCTTGCACTCTTATTGATCACATAAAGTTCACGGATAAAGTAAATGTAAACTTTGGTTCTTCTCTTGCAGACCCAGTGATGCAATTAAACAGTGGCCAAAGCCAGGTGACACCTCTGCTGGCCCTGCTGGCCAGTTTGATCCTAGCCAGCATGCTGGTAACCCTGCTGGTCAAACGGTTTGCTCCCAAAATTCCAGTCTAGAAACTGCCAAAACTCTGGAGATCAAAAATGATCCATATTTTGAAAATCATTCATTATTCAGTCACTTCTAAATGGTATTTTTCATCGGAGTGTTGTCTTTGTCTTTCTTGAGGAGTGTTTCTTTAGTTGTGGTAAGGTTTGCAGTAAGTTGGCTTTAAATCTAAATGGGATAAAATATGTGTGATATTAAAGTTTTAACCTTGTTGCATTCACTGTTTGTTGATAAGATTAACTTGTTCTTGGTTTCTGTGTGAGATTTTTATAATTAAATCTACATCATAATTAAAAATAATGTATAATCAAGGGCAAATCAAGGATTAAATAAAGTATTTAGTGCACATATACTTGTCTCTCAGAAACGCAACCAACACTACTTTGGATTTACAAAATAAAGTGATAGTACAAAGTGAAGTACAATAAACTGGGTACCTACTGTTTGAGCTACAATTTAATATCATAACATGATTACTATTTTTGCTTCGTTTTATCAGTTGAAATAAAAGTTAATGAATAATCGCCTAAATGTATCACAAATCATTCATAATATGTAATAAAAATCTGATTATGAACAATGTCTATTTTTTTTATCTCCAGTAAGATCATACAGTAAAATGTGTTGCTGAATAAAGTCTCACTTAGTCATTCTGTTATTGAAGTAGAAGGCCAAGTTGATCTTTAGCACCCAGCTGCAACCCGCAATACTGTTATAGATTTTTATCCATGTTTATTTTTGGAGTAAAGGTATTTGTGCACAATATGCAATCTTTGCTGTCACAATTCCACAAATCAGTGACTCATCTGTTAAAACATTTGTGCTTATGATTCTAAATTGAGAGTAGGAATGATCACCCAAATAACATAGTTTTAATTGTTGCTCATTGATTGTTAAGCGCATCTGTGCTTGTTTGTTGCAAGCGTTACCTTTAAGACATTGTAGCTTAAACCTATTCGCTGGAACGTTCAAGACAATTTAACTACACAGCAAAGCAAGACGAGTAGGCAAAGTTGTTTTTGTTTCTCGTGAACGGGAGAGAACTGGACAAACGCCGTTCCTTCGCTTGACCCCAGTCGCTCTCGTCCGCTCCCCCGTAACACTGCTTTTTTTATTGAGGTTACATGAATATACATAGGTTCATTAGCATATGACGTCTACATACACACAAAGAGTACCTTGCCTTTGCGTTGTGTAAGTGTGTGTGTGGTCTGGAAGTCCAGCAGTTCATCTAAACAAAAGGCACTTAGAGTAAAACAGATATAGATGTGTTTGCTATACCATATATCAGCAAGAAAAGATAAAACCTTGCTCATGATCCCAAGAGGTGTGTGATCTATGCCAGAACACTCTGGAGAGGAGTGAACGCACCCCCCTCTTCATGCTACACAGAGTTGTTACAGACCTCCTAGGATGAGACATTCTTTCAATCTACAAATGATTATATACTTCTAAGCATATATGAGTAGATATTTCTAACCATAAATGACAATCGACAATATAAACCTGACAGACATAATGACATATTTAAGAATAAGACGAGGCTTGGCTTGATAGCATTTATTATAAGACATTTTTCCTCCTTCCCTGCTCAACAAAAATTGGGCTGTCACCACAAATTCAGGCCACAAATTCTTACTATGGTTAATTATTAGAATCAAGAACTCATGAAGGAAAGGAAAATACCGGGAAAATCAACTTGGATTACAGTTACAGGAGTAAAAACATTAGACCCACCTGCTTAAATGATGCTTTGCCCATGAAGAGGTTTTGATTGTGGCATTCATAATACTTTAACAGAAAAGTAGCTGTGATTTGAAGGCAAGATTCACAATGACTTATGTGAATCCACAGATCCATGTGAATATTGGGCAGTGTGTTTGCCTGACAAATTTCCTTTTACTTAGTTTGTTCATTTACAACATGGTGATTATGTTTAACAGTTATCTGTCGCACTCTCTCGTGATATTTCCATGACGTGGCTAGCACATGCACTGGTGTTTGAAAAGTTGAACTTTTCTCAGGATTTCAACACAAGCACTGTAAGTGAAGCAACCAATGTCACGTTCAGTTTCTAATTGTCTTCCCCATGTGATGTTTTTGTGTAATGTATGTATGGTCGGAGGGTAAGATGGCGCCGCCATTGCGTGCAATAGGTCGGCAGCCTTAACATGAAATTTCCCACTCGTGGGACTAATAAAGGTATCTTATCTTATCTTAATTATATGAGTGCTGGAACTGTAGATGTGTAAATACTGCACTGGGTGAACTTTGACGGAAGCCAGGAATTATTGGGTTGGGTGAAAGCCAACTTGATGGTGGAGTAATGAATAGGTTGAGCCTGCACACAGCTTTAAACCTGTTCTTACTCTAAGTAGGCTAATGCTGTGCAATAATTGCTGACCTAAATACATAAGAGAAACAATTATTATCCACATCCCATTGTCATCATTGCTGCCAGGACATTTCATGTTATTCCTATCAAAGCTATTGTTTATTCTGATAAATTGCAAAGATTATGTGATGATTATGATTACTATGTGATTGATATTAGTTTCATTTCTCAGTAAATGAAAATGAAAGAATGAAAGGAGGAATGTACCCAAAAGGAGCCGCGCAACCTGCACAAGGCCCACATTTTTGTTTTTTACTTATGGTATCTTGAATACTTGGATGAGTGACAAAACGTTTCTCCCACTGAAGACGCTACATCCAGATGAACAGAATCAACTTTTGGGCATTTACTTACCTGGATGATTGAGCATGTGTTACCGGCACCAGACCTAGGGGAATCTGGACCGGCAGCAAGCGGCACACAGGCTAGAGAGTACTGCGTAGCCAAGTATGAGCAAAATGTGGATTAATAGAGAGGACACCGAAGTTAGCGTCTTGCTCAGGCTGGAGCTCATTTATTTCTGCAATATATACACAATACAAATCACACTAGACCATGCATTCTTCCCATAAAATAACAGAGTTCATAAACAAAAATAAAGTTACAAATAGCATTCTCTCAAAAGTAAAATAAATACAAACTAAGTCAAAATAACTTTACATACTCACAACTTAAACAAAACATGGCTAAAGCATAACAACACCAAAATAACCCATCTCACATTCACACAACCTTTCCCCACACTCGCGCCATATACGCTATTACTTTTGAACATGGCGTCCCGTGAACGCAACACAACATGGCGGCAGACGACTGCAAACGTTGTTTCACCAACGAAAAGCTTTCCCCTTAACACATGTACTCAGTACTGCTTGGCTAACACTAAAACAAACACTACAACACATTTTCTGAAGTCGCAGGTTGCCATCGTCATAGCATATACTTATAGTGCTACGTAGCATTATAGCATTATGCAGATGACACAACAATACTCATTACAACATAATACCACAAAACAACATCAACACAATCATCTCAAAATATGGCCGAACAGTTGCTACTCAACTTACATGACATTAGGAACCAATTCGGTAACATAAAAGTTTGTATGTCAGTACCTACGAATTAATAGAGAGGACACCGAAGTTAGCGTACTGCTCAGGCCGGAGCTCATTTATTTCTGAGCTGCGCATGCACAGATCCTATAGCTAGAGTCAGGGTTCATACGCCTTTTTCAAGGTCCCTTTTCAAGCTTTTCCAGCAAACCCCCCCCCGTCCCCTTACCAAAAAAAATAAATAAAAAAAAATAAAATAAAAATGCATGTTTCAATTCGCATCACCTCAGTAAGACCATGTAAAAAGACACCTTTGTTCCCGTTTTGTTAAGACATAGAAAAACACACCACACAAAAATATTGCAAAAGGAAACGGTCACCTTATATACATAGTGTATAAACTCAAAATGCACATTTCACTTAAAAATTAAGATGTGAAAATGTGAACAAATCAACTTGTTAGAGATATTCTTCTCCTTTTGGGGAAAAAAAAAAAAAAGGAAAAAAAAAAAGAAATAAGTCTTCTCATCAGATATTGATGCTTCTTTCCTGTTTGACAAAAAATAGGAGACAGATGTTTGTTTGTTGTTTGTTTTTTTAAGTTAATTCCCAATAAAACAGTTTTATTGCTAACTACATTGCTGTCTGTATTATTGCTGAAGTCCTAAATGATCACCTTTAAAGTGTTTGTGCTAATAACATCATGGCAGACAGGCATGGAGAACAGCACTGATTGTTTAAGTAGTTTAATGTGTCGGTGCTGACGATAAACACATTTTGAATGAAAGCCGGGGAACTTTGGTATCACAGAAACATGTGGCTATTCTTTGTGACCATATGGATCGATCCCTCATATTACCATTATTTCACCAAGTTAATACTCAAAAAAGCTGCAGCAATACACACAAATATAAAAAGTACTTGGTGACAACTTTGCTTTTAGCCTTTAACTCTCTGGGGTCCAGGGTATAATTGGCCGTTTTTGACTACTTTTGATTTGTTCTCTATATTTCACCTTTAAAAACTGTTTCTCTTGCCAATCTGTTATTTACTCATTTTGACATAATGTGTCAGCACAATTTATCTAAATTCAGACGAAATTTAAAATACGAGTAGAAAGTGATATTTTTGACTGTAAAAACCACAACCATGTTTAAGGAATCATTTTCATAACTCTAAAATGCAAATAGAAATTATACATTTTTTAAAAATATGCACAAGTTTTGCAAACAAAGTTATATGGTACTATATGGTACAGACAGAGGCTGAAGCTCTCCAAACCTGTCGTGAGGACCAAAAAACTGTGGAGCAACGAGGCTGTGGAGGAGCTTCGCACGTGTTTGGAGACCACAGACTGGGACACAATGAAGGCTGCTTCTAACAGCTTGGACGAGTTTACGGACACTGTCACCTCCTATATCCACTTCTGTGAGGACAGCATTGTGCCATCACGCACCAGGGTGAGTTATAACAATGACAAACCCTGGTTTACCCCTAAACTCAAAAAGCTGTGGCTGGAAAAGAGTAAGGCGTTCAGAAGCGGAGACAGGGACTGCTACAGAGAGGCCAAGTACAGGTTCACTAAGGAAGTGGACATTGCCAAACATCAGCACTCTGAGAAGATGCAGCAGCAGATCTCAGAGAATGACTCGGCCTCTGTGTGGAAAGGTTTTAGGAATATTACAAACTACAAGCCTAAAACCCCCCACTCCACTGATGACTTGCTCTTGGCCAACACCCTCAACGACTTCTACTGTCGTTTTGACGAGCCATCAGGCAGCCTTCACACCTCCAACGACCCCAACAATAGAGGCACTTTGGACACTCATTCCCCCACCTCTCCCCCCTCCATAGAGCCATCACCACCTTCAAACTGTTCACCTGCAACACCCGCCCCCTCACCCCACACAAAAGAGGATTTCACACCACCTCCTCCGACCACAACTCTTCATATTCATGAAGCAGATGTGAGGAAGCAGTTTAGAAGTCTGAATGCTCGGAAAGCTCCCGGCCCAGACGGTGTGTCTCCTGCCACCCTCAGACACTGTGCAAACGAGCTGGCCCCAG